CCAGAATACCAATACTGAAATGGAGAATGCAGCTCGCCTCAGCCAACTGAGCATATTCACTGTGCTGCTTTGATACCACAGTTATCTCTGACTAGAAGCACAGATTAGGGTCTGATTAATTGCTATTAGTTTGGCCATTTCATTATCTTATCTCCAGTCACAAATTTACAATCAAATCAATGTCGTGCACAGAGAAGTTCAAACAAATGGGGGTAAAATATTGATGATTTTCTAATATATAACCTAAGTGCTACTGATATTGTGAGAACATATTATGTTAAAAAATAAAGGTATGTGTATCATTGTGCTAGAAGCTTCTCAAAATGTGAAAGAAAAGTAATAAATAAGGAAGGGAAAAAGAGAAAGTGAATTACTTTGAACTTCAAAAACATAGTCAGAACATAGCTGGAAATCTAATTTTAAAGTAAAATTTTCTGTATACAGAAAATTATTTATAGTCTGGCTTATAATTAGAAGATAATGGTATATATATTTTGAACCGTTATCTCTTCTTTCTTGTAGATGAAAGTTTTCATTATTTTGGGATTTTCAGCAGCTATAGCCTTCACGGCTGTTTTCTTTTCTTTCCTTCAAACAGGGAAAGACACCATCTTTGGTAAGTAACAGTAAAAATACGTGTTATTTTCCTGTGTTGACTGTTAAACTGAAAATACTGACACTGAAGATGGTTTAGCAATGGCAGTATAGCTCAATCTCTTTTGTGTGCAAAATATACTACCTGGCTTCTCTGAGAATTATACCATGGAGGTTTTCTTTTAAATTGCAATTTCATAAACTCAGTAAGTAAAATTTTGTATGTGTAGTGTATCTCAATCACTTCCTTGACTTGGAGTGATTTTACTTTCTTAGTGGCATTCATATGTCAGATGACATGTTGCCAAGCACGATTGCTGGATTTCTTTCCCCATCTGATAATCATCCTGGGCTAGAGGCAGTTGCCATAGGATGTCCCACCTGGCACCCTCCTGCTGTCCCACAAGGGTGCTTCTCTCCTGTGGATCTGTTGGCTGCTGGCACCCTGTGGATTTTAGAGCATCTCAGATTGCTGTGCTCCTATGTTCAAAAAATGTAATCTTGTCATTCTTACCATCATCTGCATCTGTTTAATTTAAATCAGTTAAATCTAATAAATTAGAAGTGTAGCAGATAGTAGACTAAATTTTAAAAGAAATCTGCAGAGCCTGATTTTACATTAAATTAGGGCAGAGATAGTAAAGAAACAGGATTTCAAATCACAATTTCTTATATTATATAGCTATACACATGATTCATAAGGGATGGCGATATGATTCTCTAGGCAAGTTTTCACCTAAAGTTAGTGTAGAACCACAAATAAAATAAAATTATATGCAAAAAAAATTAAATTAAAAACAAATTCCCAAGCTATTACTTATGAGAAAGCTTTTTTGTACCATCACTTCAAAAAGGAGATCAGGTTTTCTTTCTGTACAGGATTCTTTACTTTGAGCTTCCATATAAATTGTTCGGAAAGATGTGGTCTAAAACAACCACATTATATGTTAATTAATACAAAATGAATCCAAGAATAATAGAATGGTTTAGTTTGGAAGGGACCTTCAAGATCATCCAGGTCCACACCCTCTGCCATGTGTAGGGATCCCGTTCACCAGACCAGGTTGCTCAAGGCCTCATCCAGTCTGGCCTTCAACACTTCCAGGAATGTGGCATCCACAACTCCTCTGGGCAATCAGTTCTAGAGCCTCACCACCCTCACAGTAAAGAATTTCTTCCTATCTAATCTAAACCTGCACTCTGTCAGTTTAAAACCATTGCCTCTCATCCTGTCATAGAAGAAGTCTCTCTCCCTCCTTTTTATATCCTTCCCTAAGGCACAGGAAAGCACCAATATACAAAAAAATACATGTGTTATAAATAAATAGAATAGATGAAATGTGATTCTTTTTATAGTAAGTGTTTTTGGTCTGATGAGACAGTACAAGATAATATTTATTACTCAAGAACCACATTTTTGAAGACACTGCATTGGTACCAAATTCATACTTAGTAGAAAAGGAAGAGAGACAATGGAATTTAAGTATAGCAACTGGATATTCTCTTTTACATCAGAGTCTCAATCAATATCACATTATGAGGAATACTTCAAGCATATTATACTTCTCAGAGCTAAGCCCCCTAAAAGTAATTTAAAAATATGCTGTATTAAATTCTAAAAGACTTACTTATTTTATGGCCTATAAAAATCAAACTTGTTTTTTAACATAAACTCAAAATGGTTTTTAGAAGTAGTGGAAGTCCAATTGATGACACCAAATGAATCATCTGAATATTTTATTATGCATAGGTGATAAAGAGAAATAACTACTGCTATACTTAGATACTGAAAATTTCAGTAGAGTATAATTTAGCCTTGGAGAGATTACTCCTCATCACACATTTCTCTTCCTCGAGCTGAGTGCCCTATTCAAAAAATAGATGGTAGAAAAAGCACAGCATTGGCTACAGGTAAAACATGCTCCCCTAAAATTACACTGTATATAAATGATGAATGTAAATAAATGATTGTTAGTATTTTTTATGATTTGTTTTCTAAGAAATAAATGGGCCATCACACAAAATTCAGTTAGATATAAACCAGTTGGACTTTAAACACGACTGGTTCTTTTGTTGTAAAGCAACATGTGCACAAAAGAGGGATAAGCTAAGCCTCATAGTAGCATTATACAAAATACCACAGCTGAAGTGTTATTATGTTCACATTCATCTTTCCATCAAACATATGTGAAGAAATGGGAATAGGGCTTTCATGCACTGGCCCAATCCCAGGTCCTAATTTTGCTTGAATATGGACTTCAATTCTTCATGTGGCTCAGACCAGCTCCCATTTCCTGTGAGGGAGGGTCAGGTTTGTCCTGTAAATCCAAGGACAGTTTTATTAAAAATACGTATGAAGCCTAAGGAACACAACTGCATACAGAGCACACAACATGTTTCACCTGGACTTATTATATTTGGTCCTATATAACATGTCCATAACTGAATTTATACTTCAAGCAAGGAAATCTAAATCCCCAAGTCTTATAAATTATGGAAGAATTTATTTATCACCTCTACCTTACTTTTAGAAAGCTCAGAAGCCACAACATTAATTTCAGAAATAAAATATTGAGATGGTTTTAAAGGGCAAAAATTGTACCTTAATATTATAAACTTGTGTATTTTCTACTTGTAAGCATTTTAATAAATATGCTATTTATTACCATATTTATCTTTCTTTCTTTCTTTTTGTTTTTTCCCTGCTGAGAACAAATTGAAGAAAACTGCATTACAAAGGCTATCCAGAAAAGTTCTAGTCTGGTGAATTATGCTGCACATTATGACATTAAAAGGTAAAAAACAGAAGTGAAGAAAGTATTCAAGAAAAAACTCATAACAAAAATGTTTGATGTCAGCCTTTTGTTTCTTTGAGAACCCATATAATCACAAAATCACTGCTCACATTACCTTTGAGAGATCTGGTCTAGAGGATCCCATGGCAGGGGGGTTGGAACTAGGGGATAGTTAAAGTTCCTTCCAACCCAAACCATTCTGTGATTATGTCACTGAACATCTGATGCAACGTGACCTTGTGCATTATCACCATGTAAGTTGATCTCTTAAAATTTGAGACAAAATAAGGATCACAAAAATAAATATGGATGTTTTTATGAACTAAACAGCACAACAAATTCCATTAACGTGTGGCTCAAAAATCATACTTTTATGGACCTATTTTTGAACATTAATTATGTTTTTGCCAGTGCAGAGTGAGACAGGTACAACTCCTATGGCATCAGGACCGAAACCCTGTTGCCTTAAATTGGTCTGCTAAAGTGAATTTCATGTTTTTCCTTCCATCTACAACAGATGCAAAAAAAGATAAGGGAAAGCAAATAAAACATTTCTCTTGGACTGTGGAGAGGTAGGAATTTAGGGGAAAGCTCCTGTGTGCTGAGTTACTATATGAAAATGAGCTCTTTCAAGCATTTTCTGACAAGATTTCTGTGCAACAAAAAATGAATTTCTCTCCAAAATTTGGAACACATCAACCAAGTTTTACAGGGTACAATCCCCACAGTTTTGTCTAGACTTCCCTGAAGACTTATCCCTGTGATTTGAAAATGAGTCATGATTTGCAGAGCTCTGTGTTAACTGTTTACATGGACAGAACTTGTCAAGAACTGTTTCCCCTCTATTTGTAGAGAATGAGGTCAATCTTGGTATTTAGTGTTAGTATTTTGGTGACAATTCTATTTAAAATTTGAAAACATAGGTCTTAAGCTTTCAGTGGCTCAACTGTCCCATGTAATAGATGGAGATGCTGATAGTTATCTGTCTCATAGGATATTGTGTCAATTATTTGGCCAATATCTTAAATATGATACATGCTGAGAGAAGCTAAAGATAAATGCTTAACAATGATTGTTTCAATTAAGAATTGAAATTTTATTAGGAATAAAACTGAGACCACTTACACCAGACTATTAAGTTTCCTTTGAAATACTGTGTATGCGGATATATAGGCTTTAAAGAGAATTGGTGCTCAGAAGTCCTATTGATGATTGAGGATGGTCTTGGGTGTTAAATTTCACATGAAAGCAAAGCCTGCTCACAGCAGGGAGACCTCTTTTGTAACTGTCCTGCACAAGGTCTTCCACTTAGTGCTGCAGGCTCTGCTCACCCCAATAGTTTCTTTCTCATCCTACAGGCTTCCCACAAAATGAACTCTTGTGTATGTCCAACAGAAGGGCAGTTTCTCTTTTAGAATTTTCCTGGCAGAACAAGGTCACAGGATAGACTTCCTCTTTGCTTTCCCAGTGTACTCTTCAATCAAAATATACCTTAATACCTTAAATACCTTAAACTTATAACATATCCAGCACAGACAGCTTTATTGTTACAAAAAAAAAAATCTAAAAATGTATACATTGCAAAACTTTCTGTATTTATTTCAATTATAGAAAGATTCAAGGAAGTGGAATGGCAACCCCTACCTTGCTGCTGGCTTTCTCGAAATTTCCTGAACAAGAGAGTCAAGATATTTCCCAAGCAGCTGAACGAATGGAAATGTCAATTCAGGTGCTGAAACAAAAAGTTTGCCAGAAGCACAAACGTTCATTGCATCCAGCTGGTAAATACAGTATATTGACATTGGCAAATCACCCTATTGATTTATTGAATGCTGTCTTTTCGATTAAAGTTCAGTTAAGTTCACTTTTATTTTATTTTGCACTTTCTTTTGTTCTTGAAAGCACCTCAGGTTTACATTTTTCTTTGCTGGAGTGTGGGTGGTGTTCTTATAGTTGAGGAGAGCAGTATTACACTAATGGCATCCTGTGAACTCATGACTGTGTATTTGTATTACCTACAAATCAGCCTGCATATCCCCAGTGTTGCAAGGCTCTTGTTTACAGTGAAATATCTATCTTCCCCAGCAGTTTGGGTTTAGTGCTTGATCTTGTATCACACTATGGCACTGGCATTTTCAAACTTCCTCTCAACATGTGCATATCCCTCTTTTAAAAAAAAATATGATCTTATTTCCAAAACTAATTTTATAATACATTGCTGTTACACATTTATTTCCATTTTAACTGTTTGGTTTTTTTTATGTTAGATGGGGAAAGAGAGATAGTCCAGAAAGTTCAATGCTGTCTAAGTAAAATACTTGCTGTTAATTAGAGATGTATTTCAAGATGCTTGTCTGGTGTCTGGAAGGCCCAAAATATCAGAAACATTGACTTTTTCTCCCCATATATTAATTCTGTCAGTTACATGAAGTGTTCTGTCTTAGTGCTATAACAATTTTTTCCAAGATATGGAAGCATTAGAGTGCTGTAGACAAACATAAAGCTCTACAATTATTATTTCATTTACTTTCAAAAATATCTGGCTTACTAAACTAATGGGACATTTGTAGAACTAATAATATATCTCTATGAGTATGTCTGTGCTTATATTTATATGCACACACATACACAGATACAATTATGTTTTTCTGTGAGATTTCAAAAGAAATTGAATTTCTAAACTGAAGAAGTGCACAAAGCTCTTATTAATTTTCAGAGCTGAAACAATGCTAACAGAATGTGAATAGACACTATACAGTCTGTATACCACAATAGAATAGTTTTACATGAATTAAAGAACTAAATTGACTTTAAAGAAAAATGTGAGTCTACCTAGGCAGCCCAGATAACAGCAAAGCTGGGCTCTGAGTATAACTTTGAACCTGACCTAATACAGAAATACAGCTCTATTCACAAATTTGGCACAAGTTACTAGTAAGTACATAATGACAAGATTATGTAGCCAGTCTAACAATCTATTCCCTCTCTGTTCTCACTACTGCCTTTTACAGGTTCTAACTGCTCAACAGAACATTCCTTGAGCTGATTTGGCTCTTGAACTTCTGTTGTTTGTTTTTGTGGCTCAATATTTCAGTTTGAACAATGGACTAAAACACCTTAGCTCAGAGTTGAATGGGCAGAACAAAGAGATATTGGGACTGGGTGACATGCATTAGCCAGTGGGGAGATAAGGGCAAGATTTATATGTTATCTCTACCCTCACCTTTCATCATGTGATGGTTGTAGTCACTTTGAATGTCAAGGGTTCTCTGAGTTCAGGAATTTTCATGATTCATAGAAGTATAGGAAGGCTTGGGTTGGAAAGAACCTTAGAGACTCCCTAGTTCCAGCCCCCTGCCGTGGGTAGGCTCACCTTCCTCTAGACCAGGTTGCTCCTGTTTCATGCATTCATCCACCTCCAACTGGCCATACATATTTCAGTACCTGCAGAGGTGAGAATAGGTGTCATCTCTCTGCAGCTTACACAGTGGTGTGGCTTTGTCCCTCATCATCAGCTGCTCACTGGGAGGCCTATCTTGGATTGTATCAGAAATGTATTTATAACATGCTGTCTTCTGGTATAAAGGGACTTGATTTTACCTAGCTTCCAAATTCCAGCTAATAATTCTGATTCTCTTCCACTCAGCATTGAATTCTATAGTTCTATAGTCAGCTGCAGGGTCTTTAAATTTCTGCATCTTCCCAGTCCCACGTTTTTCCTCCTTGGTAAATACTTTTGTTCTTGAATGGCATTTTTTACACCTTTGTTGCTAGCACAGGGGCCAGGCAAGCAATGTACTACAACACAGGGAAAGTAGGAAGCAGCAAGCAGATCAGACTCAGTTCTCAGCTATTGCTGGACCTCTTCTCATTCTCTATGCATCAGCTAATAAAACCAGCTCTTCCTCTAAGTCCCTGCACAGCCTCTTGCAGCACTTCTCACTAAGTGCTCTTTCCAAGGAAGAGGGAGAATTCTGTAGATGCTACTGACAATAATGGCCTTTCTACTCTAGCAGCTAACTCCAATAGAGCAAATTGCTTGTCTGGATTCTTCCTTTCAGATCGTTTATCAGCTGATCTGCTCACTATGATTGCTAATATTTCTGGATGTCTGCCTTATATGTTGCCACCAAAATGTCCAAATAATTGCTTAGCTAATAAATATCGACTCATCACTGGTGCCTGCAATAACAGGTATGTATGATAAAAACTGTCCTGAAAAATCTGTCTTTTTCATTCTTTAAACCCTAAAAGCTGTGTTGGCTTTTTCTGAAGAAATTGATGAGGTAGGACTGATGTTAATCAGTTAACTTTGGCATCAACGTGTCTGTAAATGAAGTACCTGTAAAAGTTCCTGGAGGAAGAACTCATAATTTAACCTTTGGTGCACTAGTTTTTGTATTAAACAGGCTTTCCCTCTGAAAGCTTCCAGGATTATGTGAAGGACTTTATATTTAGGGAGAACTGATTTAGCAGATGCCTTCTTCTATATAAAAAGAAAATCTAATTCTAACCCAGTATTTATTTTTGGTTGAATTGGATAAAATTATATAAAGCAGGAAAACAATATTACTTCCCAAAGTGAAATATTTTTGTATTTTCCCACAACTCAAACAGTTAGCAAGCATGAATCTAAAAATTCTAGGTGTTATTTTTAGGTTTACGTATCTGTTTGTATCTGTTTAGTGTCTGTTTTTTATAACTAGTACCTACCTGTTGCTTAATCTATTTGACAATTGCTTCCTACAAAACCCAACATAATAGATGTGCCTGTCTTTTCAGAACCCTCCAATGCAATGAGTGTAAAACTGAGAATGAGAGCCCTTTTAAATACAAGGGTAAACAATATTTGTACTGAGCAGCCTCTGGATACATACACCTAAGGCCAGAAACTGAAAGGTAGACTGTAAGTTTACAACTAAAGTACAACAGGGATGAAAATGGAAGGCCATTATCATTGTACAGGTTCAGGTGCTCTGCAATGTGGTGAATAAAGAGCAGTACAGTTCTGCAGTTTTATTATTCAGTGAGTCTGGTTTTATGAGATGAATCTGTTTTGCTACATCACAAGTCATTTGCAAGAAACATGCCTGATAGGTTCTTTGCTGAAAGGACACAACCTGATATGAATCAGTGTTATAAATCTAACTATGTGGAAATCCATAATTTCCCCCCAGGCGTGTTCAGAGTTGCTTGGAATCTGAAGTAGCAGCTAGTACAATATTTGCACTGACAACTCCATCAGGGCTTGAATACAATGGCCAAGATTCGTGCAGCGGAATATAGACACATGGCTGAAGCTCTTAATTTACAGGAGTGGCTGTGTAGTCTTTCTCCCTAGAGATGGAGAGAAGAACTCTGCTATAGTTAATGTAAAAGACCTTTTTCTCTTCAGGGACTGATAATGCTAGGATGTGTACAGGCATTTCCATCTTGTATCTAAAGTTGGGTAGGGTAAATATCATTCATTGAGTCTGCTCTGTAGTCACTCTCTTCTACTTTGTATATTTTTATGCTTGTACTGCATTGGAATTTAAACCCACCACTCATATTAGGTGGCATTTTATACTCTTGCTCTAAATGTGTGTAAAAGGTGTAAGGTGACAAAAAATGCTGCAAAACCAAAGGCTTTGAGACCAGTGATTCAGATCTTTACTGAGTCTAAAACTCTTTGAGCCCCTTGAAATACCTCTTGTTCTACTGAAATACAGAAACTTGAAAAGCCCACAACAATGTCATGTAAATAACAGATTTTGTGATGTAAGCCAAGTTCAAAGACCTCAGAAATTAAATGAAATACCAGCTGTTCTTTTCCTTGCTTTACAGCTTCCACTTCCAGGCAGAAAATATATCAAGATCTGTGTTGTATTTGTACTTTTGCTCAGTCTCTGGATATGTAGCTGTACTGTAGATCAGTAAATGCTGCATTTCATGAGTGAAATTTAGAAACAACAACAAAAAAATTATAGCAGAATTAATTGTGTGTCCACAAGAACAATCTTTCTTAATCTATTTAGAAGTGAGCAAGGAAAAGCTTTACAGATGTTCTGCTAAGTCAGTTTGTACATTTGGGACAAATCAGATCAATTACAAAGGGTTTTTTCCACAGCACTGAGATTGCTTTTAGTGTGCACTTCCTAGAATAAAGGTGTAGTAGAATAGCATAAACATGACCTTCTATGGAGAATATCAACATGATATCAGACATTCCCAGCAGAGTTATTATCCACTTTTACTTGTAAGAGATATTTACAGATTTTAGTTTCCTTTCTATCTAAACAAGTAAAATAAAATTGCATTATTTTAAAATTAAGAATAAGGAACAAAAAGAAAATCCAAACTCTTTTTTTGCTTGTTTGTTTTTTATTCCCAACTGGCTAGCATTGATCTATGTGTTTTTTTAGTGTCCAGTACAATGAGAGGAACTCAAGGGTGAAGGAATTACAGGTACTAAAGGAAAGGACTCCCACAGTGCAATTACCTTCACCTAATATTTGATTTCAGAGATCTCTTGTCTTCTGCAAGGCTGCATCTTTGGCTGTTCCTGGTAGTGAGAAATAAGATGGAGTGACAGGATGGTACCCAGGAGCTTTCTGTCTTTATGGCTTGGTGGACAGGTTGTTAGATGACTAGCTTACTTTTTGTACACTTAATATTTGGGGCACCTGGGAGGAATTTTATCTGCAGCATTTCTGTTTCATTGTTGTGTCATTAACCATTCTCTCAGGTAAGGACCTGATGCCCAGTCTGGAGGTCCAGTACCAGCAGAGTTAGGAGTATGGCTCATCTAGTGGAAAGAAGGAGCAATCCTGACTGAATCCACTGGCTTCCATAAGAAGAAATTGAGAATAGCTAACTAGGTTAGCTATTTCACCCCAATGCAAAACTAAGTGTTCAATTAGTAGCAGGCTTATTTTCCAGAACTGTCCCATGTTTCCAGAAGTCACACTCATGATAACTCAGCACAACTTAAAACATCATGAACTACAATAATTAAGTTGCCATATGGCATTCATTTCATCTACTTGAAACTAGGCAGAACATTAAAATGAGTTTCAGAAGATAAAAATCTGGATACTGAATGGAAGCTTAAGACTCCAGGTTGCTTCTCTGACAGCCAAAAAAAAAAATCCTAATGGTGGAATTCCAGTATTTCACAAGTAAATGCAAACTCCTTCCATAAACATAATATATAGTATCAAATTTGAGTACTTTATAAAGCTGTATGGTAGAAAAATCTCTTTATTTCAACTGCCTTTTTAACTCAAGCAAGATTCCAAGATATTAGTATGTTTAATGCAATAATAAAAAGGCATGTGTGAGGGGTTTTACTAAAGTAGCATTCCAGTGATCTGCTAAAATACAAAAGCAATCAGGAGAAAAATCACTGGTTAAGCAGCTACATTAACATTTCATTATTTTTAATTGACTGGAATAGCACTACACTATGTGCAGTATTTTATGCAATTTCAATAAAGGCAAATCAACTGTAACTAATTTGAATGCTTTATTAAAGCATACTTCAACCTTCAAGTGTGAATTATTGTGGATAATTAAGCATATTACTGCACCATATAGCTTGGCAAATTGAGTCTCTTCAGTGTGCTGGAGATCAACGAAGTATTAATATAATAATTTTTTAGAATCCTGATAGACATGTAAACATACATATGTTTTAATGCCATGTATTTCTATCAATATTCCAGAAATATTTCTGGTTTCTTGAGGCTTATTTTACAATTTTAGTCAGCTGAGTACATTGCAAAAAATATTTTTTTCTTTTAGTGCTGATATATGTTTAACAATTATGAAGTATCATTGAACAGGACATGTTGAAAAACAACCAAACAAAAAAAGAAATCCTAAAATTTCCAATATTCATGATAGAGGGAAGATTAATTGGGTCAAACCCAAGACTCACTCACTCTACTAATAAATAGAAATCACCAAGGATCATTTGCTGACCCTCAAAATAAATATGATCTGATTCTTGCCACCCTCTTACTTTTACACATTTTGTCTACACTTTTTACATCCCTTCCCCTTCCAGGTAGGCTGGCTATAGGATGATAAACTGGTATGCAATGATGCCAAGATGTGCTCAGGCGGGTGACATTCAGGAAAAAGCAAGTGAGGAAAAAATTCACTGCAGTTATTGCTGGCAACTTAGCATCATATTTCAGTGCCTGGGCCTGTGCACAGGCCCTCCCAAAGATGGACCCAAGAAATTGGTATAGCTTCAACCAGAGGGAGCATTGCCACTGGATTCAGCTCCCATCTCCTCAGCCCTGGCTCCTTTGGTCTTGCTAAATGATTTCTTCTCTATGTGCCCAGGGTTCCAACATATGACTAGTGCCCATTTTTCATTTCAGCTTTCTTCACCTGTACTCTAGTGTTTCTTCATATTTTCCTCAGTTTTGATTTCCTTGCTGTTGCTCTAAACAAACATCTTTCTAAAGATGCTAGCAAAGGCAATGGAGATTATATCTGACTTTATGGGGAATGAGGACACTATTAGGAACTCACCTTCACAGCAAGTGTTTAGAAAATGTTAAAAGGTAACCAACTTAGGTTATAAACATGAGTAAAATAGTAATAATTCATTAGCAATTTAAATGTTCATTATTTTCCTTTTGAGTAAAATTAATATTGACATTCATGAAGACAAGTATTTTATGTCCTTTCAAAGATTGCTACATGAACCTCTTATTGTAATGGCATATTGCTCTGTGGCTGATGATTATTTCATGTTATTTTATTATTATATTTTTATGGTGAGGTGTTATATTCAGAACATAAATATAAGTAATATATATATATATATTTATATTATATTCAGAATATATTTAGAGGTTCTGCTGCAGCTGTTGCTTTTGGGGGATTTTTTTTGTTTGTTTGTTTTTCTTTTCATAGGGAACATCCTAGATGGGGAGCATCCAACACAGCTTTGGCTAGGTGGCTTCCAGCAGCCTATGAAGATGGCCTCAGCCAGCCTCGAGGATGGGATCCCAGTGTCCGATACAATGGATTCCAGCTACCCTCGGTTAGGAAGTTTACCTCAAGATCACTTGAAACACATAAACTTGGCTATTATCATACCTGCCACCACAGACCTCCATTTGCATCAGTAAATGAAATATCTGTGTGAAATACTTCAAAAGTGTCTGTGGAACTCAGTTAAGAAGCCAGTGTCTTTGCAAAGCATAAGTTCAGCCACATGGTGAGAGTGCCCCTGGCTGGGATAAGCCCATGGAGCAGTTCAGGGGACACTGACTGTCCTGGGGAGCAGCCCAGCACTCCAAAAAGTGCTGTAGGGGAGAGCAGGCAGGGCAGGAGCCAACCAAATGCCTGGCCTGGCAGGTACCAGGCAGCCAGCACACACAGGGTGATGATTGCTCAGTTAGAGAAAGGGTGCACAGCAGACCTAATTTTTACCTTCCCATGATGAAATTGTAGAGAAGGGGGAGGTCTACAAGGATGCATGCTGCCATGGGAAGAGGCAATGTTCACAAGTTGCTCCAGAGAAAATTTTGCCTTCAAACAAGAAATTAATATTTTTTTGAGAGCACAATTAAATGTTGGAATAGGTTTTTGCTGGAATATGGATTCCAGCCCAGAGAACTTCTGGCATATCCCTCATGGGAAATACCCAAGATCTGTCTTTATGGAGCTCTCAATAACCTAATCCCTGCTTTCAATTTAAAGTTGCACATTGTAGTTGCCAGAATTTCCTTCCAGCCTAGATGTTCCAGCAATTTTATTATTTTTTGTTTTAATAATGGCACCTTTATTCAGGGAAGGAGGAGGGGGGAAAGAATGGTGGGTATTAACTAAACCAATACAAAGCACATAGACATGCTAGCATGTGTGCAGGTGTGTGCATGTACACCATCCTTCATAGGCTAGCAACCTTTAACTGAACAAGTGTTTCTGTCAAATCATAACTTCATTTTTTAGTTAGTCCAATGTACTGAACTTAGAAAGTATTGCAATATTTATGGATTTTAGCACCTCATATACTCAAAAAATAGCAGACCTGCCGTAGTGGGAAGTATGGAAAAAGAACATTTGCACAGAGGACTGTGTGAAAAATTCCCCAGTGCAGGTTAAAATGATTTGGACTGGATTTACAATTTGTGATTTGTCATCATTGCTTTGAAACCTGACTTTTAATGGACTCAAAGTCTTGTCATTTTAACCATTGTATGTTTAATAAGGATAAGCAAGAGAATTTAGTGTTAATGTCACCTGCAACTCATGTTATTAATTAAATAACATTGTCTCTAAGTTGCACAATTTAGCACTCAGAGATGAAAACCTGACATTTACACAGGCAAATTTCCAGTAGATAGTACAAACTGCCTTTTCTAGATTCATTAGGGTACATGCTTGTCAAGTAAAACACACTGAAAAAAAGATTGTATAACTGTACTGAATCTGATCATCAATGTCTGACCATGAGCAAGGGTCTCTGCTTTGTTTTGGAGTAAGATAGGGTAAAACTAATGTCATAAATGTTTTTTTGTCATTTACATAATTGTTCTTTTTTTGTACTTTTAGCTATCTAACTATATCCTTTCGAAAGTAACGTGAAAATATTGTGAAAGTGATAGATAAGTGTGAGGATTACTATAAAGGAAAACAATGATAAAAAAAAATTATTAACTTAAAAAAAAAGTTTGTGCTTTGTGGCCACCAAAGCTATTAAAATACTGATCTAATGATTTGAATTCCTGATGAGCTGTAGGTAGCTTGCTGTTGAATATTTCAGTATAAATCCTGATATTCCTAACAAGCCCCATGTTGCCTCTTGTCCTTACCAATTCTATTTAACTGAACCTGCCTTATACATTCATTATACAGCTCTTATATTTATTATAGGCTCTGTGAGTCTATTTTATGTGCTGCCCTTTCAGTTGCTTGAGTTCCAAGGCAGCTGTTACTTACCAGGGAATATTTTGCAGTATGAGGGAATAATCTGTGAATAATGATAACCTTAACATCTCCTCAAACTGAGTGCTGATTTTGCCCTGATGGTTTTGCTTAGTTATTAATATAGGCTGGACATGTAGCATAGTTATCTCCATGTGCTCCTCCTCAGAGCATCTGTATCTCTATGCATCTTGCACAGAACTGTGTCAGAAATATTTTTTGGCTCCTCCCTGCCTGGGAAAAGGAAGCTGAACTTTCAGCTACCATGTGTTTGCATCTACCACATGTCCTGAGCTGCATAAGCTACTTCATTTACATACAGAGCAGCTCAGACCTTCTGAGTGTCAACAGTGGTTTGAGTTTTCCCAGAAAATCCTTTTGTTTGGGGAGAAAACAGAATACATCGAAAGAAAACTTTTAGACAGTCTAAAATAAATGTGTGGTTTTCAAAATTGTCTGGAAAGAAACAGATCAAAGATACGCTGCTCACTGGAAAACATATAGAAGATTACATATCTTATGTCATTCATATTTTTCATAACATATTTCAGCTGAAACATCTTTGAAACTGCTTGTAGCACCTTGGTCTCAGCTCCTGAACAGAAATAAGAGCCTGATAGAGGTTGAATTTCATACATACAAAGTTTTTGGATTTTTTATTTTGTTTTGGTTTTAGGTAAACCATTAGAAATATTCTAGAAACATAAATTTGGAAAGCGGGAAGATAGCTTTTATGACTGTTCCCCCTACATTTTTAGTATTTTATCATTTTCTGAGAAGTAAAAACTGTTTGTCACTCAAGGTAAATTAGTTCTCTTCTCAGGTTCGTGAAGTGACAAGAAAAATTATTCATGCACCTAATGAGGCTGTTACTGAAGACAACCTGTATTCTGATATCATTATGGTATGGGGACAGTACATAGACCATGACATTGCATTCACACCCCAGAGCACAGGGAGAACCAGCCTCCTAAGTGGGATGGAGTGCCAGATGACTTGTGAAAAACAAAATCCATGTTTTCCAATAAAGGTAAGATTCCAACTTAAATTCTACAAGACAAATTCCAGGCTTTAAACAGATGAGTAAAGTCAGGAAACGTTAGAGCAGACAGCAATAAAAAAATAGAAACCTGTACGACTATTAAATGAAACAGGTAGACATTGAAAATTTTTTTTGTAGCGATAAAAAACTAGAGTTAATATACTTAATAAAATATCAAATTTTTAACCTAAGATTTTTGTTGCAGAGAAATCTTACTGGTCCCTCCTAATGTTGTTGTTCTCATGCTTCAAGGTTTTGAGTTCCACTGGGGAAAGTAGCAAAGTAGTCATTTACATTTTCATCCAGATAAAGTGAAAAGATCTTAACAATACTTCTTCCAGTTAATGCAAACTTTTGAAGAGAGCTATCTTTTCAATGTATGTATAAAAATCATCTCCAGGGAGCTGCTGAAACTTACATACATCACATCTTTGCTTTGAGCAGATGGAAAACATGAGTTCAAAGCTTGTTAGAGGGATAGAAGAAACATAAATAGGTATAAATATAGGATACGGCATTTTTGATCACCTAATTTAAAAGTATAGTCCTTGTTTCACTCAAAAAAAATGAGTAGCAGAGTAAAACCATGTTTTTTCTTGTCAAAGCACAGCCTGTCCAACTCAGGCTATAGGAAAGCTCCATGCCTATCATAGCCCTCAGTGATGTTCAAGTCAGCACAACCTAAATTCTCTTACTTGGTGTTGGAGCATGATTATTTATCAGCTTCCCTATGTACTGCCATTTAGGGTTTCTATCAGAATAGAAAACATCTTTTACCTTAGCAAACTGTAATTGATAAACATTGCACAGTCTTGTTTTGCTTTAAGTGCCTCATTTCTCTCTCACTAAATGTAGAGGAAAATATTTGGCTAGCTGTAAAGAGAACAAAATCAGGTTGTGTTAAAAGGTGGCTCATCTTCCATATGGTGAGAGAATTTAAAATACTGGGAAGATTAAGTGAAATTAATGACTGCCTACAATTTCACCAGAAGTAGGTAAATCTAGTCCCTCTCACGCTGGATATATGGACTTTTGAAAGTTTGCAAACATATCTTCAGAGCATTCAGAAAGAACACAGGCTTCTTAAAGAACCACATTCTTTCAGACAGTGAGCAACTGAGAGCACTGTTTCCCATAACTTGAATGGAAAGTAAATCACAAGGACCATAGTTTGTAAGCATTGAACCCTGACTAATTCAAGCCTCAAAATCCCATCTACTTAAAAAAAGAGACAGTGTAAGGGATCTTTAAAAAAGACTCCAAGGCTAGCATTATTAATGTAGTAGAGGCACTCAGTAAAGAGGGATAGAGGGTTCATAGATTGTCATGGCAAAGACTTGCAAGTGCATCCTTCAGTGCTCTAAACAGGGCACAGACTCTGGATTTCTGTCTCGGAGCTGTGACAAGATTCAGAGTGTGTTTCAAGGATGCTCTTGAAGGTGAATTATGTGAGCATATACTAAATCTATCATTGAGTATTAAATATAGCTAAATCTAGCACTGGATGCTGCTCTTACTCAGCATGAGGATGGCTTCGATGTAGCCATGCAAAAAAATTCAGTCACAACCCTGTAAGCAATAGATGAGTTTGCCAACTTGTAGCCCCTTTACATGGTTACAGTCCCACGAATTTTTCAGCTCCATTTTGTTATTTACCTGTTCACAGCTTTGATGGACAGATGCAAAGATGGTTGTTCTTTTGCTTTTACTATATATGTTCAGTATTTTGTGACTGTTTTTTCTCAAAAAGAGAGATTAGATTCTGTATTAAAAAAAAAAAAAAAAACCAAAAAGAAAGGGCTGTTGCAATAAATAGTGTCATCAGAGGAACAAATTTTTGAACACCAAAACAAAACACTATTACCCTCTAGAACAAATCTTCTTTCAGAATTATTAACTAAATAAATGTCCCCATACTAAATATTTGGAAAACTGCCACAGTTAGTTTCATACATTCATTTTGTATACGAAGGAACTGTAGCTGGTTTCCAAAGGCAGTGAAATCAATAGCATCTTATACAACAATGTAGATGTAGAGGCTGCAGTTTGCACTTTTCCTGTTCCTACAAAAGCTGCACCCAAGGGAGAAGCCACCCACAGAAAAGGACAACAACTGCACATCCTCTCTGGGGGTTTCAGCAAGGAGAGGAAGGTCCTGACTGCACAGGTTAGGAAATCTACCTGGAAAATATTCAGAGTCAGTGCAATTCAATGAAGTATTGAAAGCTGCACTAGTTCATTAATATTAATGAAAAGTGTAGGCAAATGATTCATAGGTTACCAGGAACCATTGTGATTTTCTGTTCTGGACATTTTTATAATAAATGGTATAGAATTTCTCTGAGCAATGCTCACATGGAGCCTGTAGTTTCTGGTAGGGCCTGAACATTCTTTTTTCTGTATATTTATGGGGTCCCCTAATGGGGCAAAAATACCTCACACCCACTAGCTTTAGTTTACACTTCTTTTATAACAGCCTGACATGCAGAACAGAGTTGTGGAGATAACTTGTCATTCCTGAGATTATTATTTCAGGTTGGAGCTGAGACATAAAGCATTAGAAAGACTTTCATAAGAGAGCTACTGACTTTATTCAGTATTAATTGCTGCCAATAAGTTAGACACAGCACGTACAGTTAGCATGAGGCAATCCAGAAAAGCTTTCAGTTACCTGAGATACAAAGAGGTGGAAAAGAAACAGTCTCAGAAAAGTGAGGTGATTTGAAAAAGTTGACATGTAACAAGACAGGTTACTGTCTCAGCTACAAATAGATCTGTCGTCTGCACTCAACAACCAGCAAAGTGAGTCCCTGCCTTTTTCTTCTGTTTCAGCAGCAGCAGCTCGCTGTCAGATGGGATCATGGACTCTTCTCCAAGTTGCCTGTGCACAAATAATCATTAATATTTTCCTTTTCTTCAAATTTTCACAGACCATAAGCTAGGTTTTCTCTTAAATCTACAGAAAAATAACCATAACAAGGTCATTTCCCATAGAATAAATTCACAATAAGAAAGATTTTTTCTTTAACTGAAATAACAGTTTAGAGATTGTGGTACACTTAAACAATTATTGCCTTTCATTTTCCTTCACATAGAAGAATTTTACCATTACCATGACTATGCATATATAATAACCAGTTAAATCAAAAGGCAGCTATACAGGAAAACTATTGTGGCCAATCAGGGTTTTGTTGCAAATTTTTTCCCTCTAGAACTGTGTGATACAAACAAAAATGAATCATGAATTTTAGTCATTTTTTTAAAGAAAAAAAAAAGAAAATAAATTCAGTACCCATTTCAGCAGAAAAGGGTCTCTTTCTTTCACTCAGATTATTTTTAATGTCTTTGGATAATATTATAAGGAACCTCTAGTTTACACGTTCAGCTGCTGACTGCAAACTACTTATCCTATGAAAAGGGAAAGGACAGCATTATGCAGCTCAGCCAGTGCCTTAATGCTCATTATTGCTGATTTTTCTCCCCTGGGGACCAGAACGGATTGAACTGAAATTGCAGAGGTAGTTAACTAAAGATTATTCAGTATGAGCTTCATTCAGTGTTGACATGTTTTTCTGTGAGCCTGTTTAACACCATATAGGCATCTCCTACATTCTTTTCTCAGTGAAACCTGAATTCTTCCTGAATACCTCGTGATAACTAGAATATATACAGCACATACAGGGCCGTGGCTGTCAGGTTCAGATATTTGTATTATGACATGAGTTGCCTGCTTACATTACCAGCTGAAGGGAAAAAGAAGCCATACTAATAGCAAAAGACTTAATAACAAATGCTAAATAGAAAACACAAGACAGAGAAATTATTGATTTCAAAAATCAGTGAAAGAAAATTACTTATTTTCTTCAAATATAAGCTACTTTGATTTGCTAAAACCTAGGCAATGAAGAAATAATAGTAGAATTTCTTTACCAAACAAAATTTAACCATTTCTTAATGTAAAAGATTTGTTGGTATCAATCCCTACTGACATGAGCTCTCAGTACTAAGAAAATTTTACTTGGTATAATAAATGAGGTAACATTATATAAAGTTAATTCATTTCATTCCAAAGTTACTTTGTTACTGTTAACCCCAATTTAAAGACTGTTCTATCTCTGCAGACTGATCTCTGTATTATTAGAAAAATTAAGAAGAAATTACATCACATATGCAGCATTCACTGTCTTCTGCCAAAGTGAAAAATGAAAAGCAAGCAGATAGAATAGATAGAATACAAATAAGGGTTAGCTCGGGTGTCTGCACAAATAATTTATTTTCTCTTAGATTTTTGGACCTCATTATTTGACCTCAGTGTCTCAACTGTGTGGGGATCAAACCAATAAAAGACTGGCAGTTTTTCATTTAGCCAAGTCTATGTGCAGCCTTTGCTTTTTATAAAGATGGTCAGAATTCAGTACCTGTAAGACAATTGTTGCAGCAAAATAATGTGGCAGAAGACTTGTGGGGGACTGGCAGAAAGCAAAATGAATATTTACATCTGTCCTTTTTAGTTAGGAAACAGGATTAGAATTCAGTATTGAACCAAAGCTTTTACAGTGTGCTGCTGCAGACACTGAAACTCCTCATTATGTTTTTATGCATACAGGTAAACCTGCTGTTTCTATTGCTCTTCAGTAGAACAGAATTTGACCAGATGTTCATGTCTTCACTCTGATACATTTTATGATGAATTTTGATTGTAAAGCCAGACTGATTTAGATGTAAAGGTATTACATCAACAGCTTATGATAGAGTAAAAGTTTGGGGGTTTGTCTCTGCTTAAAAAATATTCATATTTTCTCTTTAAATCTAAAGAAAAACAATCTATACAGATTTAGAATATGTCATTCCAGTAGCTGAGATCTGAACAATAAAAAACAGAGAATTTAAGTAAATATTTAGGCAAGACTCAATTCAGCATCCACAGCTGTTCTCCTCACCTCAGAAAATACCCTTATTTTGTATGCAGGTAACCACCAACGATACATTATCTGCAGGGATGGATTGCCTGCCCTTCTACCGCTCATCTCCTGCATGCGGCACCGGTGATCATGCTGTTCTCTTTGGAAATATATCAGTGCTAAATACAAGACAACAGATCAATGGTTTAACTTCTTTCCTCGATGCCTCTACAGTCTATGGCAGCACCCCTGCTGTTGAAAACAAACTGAGGAATTTAACAAGCAATGAAGGCCTTCTTAGAGTAAACTTAAAGTATGATGACAACCATCGGGAATACCTGCCTTTTACAGATCGGATCCCATCCCCTTGTGCACAAGACCCAAGTGCGAGTGGAGGTGAGAGGGTGGAATGTTTTCTGGCCGGGGACAGCCGCTCCAGCGAGGTCACATCCCTGGCTGCCATGCACACGCTGTGGCTGAGGGAGCACAACCGCCTGGCCCGGGCCCTCAAGCGCATCAATGGCCACTGGAGCTCAGAGACCGTCTACCAAGAGACGCGCAAAATTGTTGGTGCTCTGCATCAGGTTGGCTGCTTGTTTGCTCTCATACACATTGCAGTGAACAGAACTCACAAAGCTTCCAATGTGCTTCTGGGAGGGGCTTTTTGAGATCGCATTACCCTTTCTTTCCCACCTATTTCTGTGCTTCAAACATGGCATGTTTAAAGTTCACTTTGCTTTCCACTTTCCTAAATGCAATGTTTCAGTGCTTAGTTTCTCTAGGCACCTCAGCATTCTGATTTTCATGGCAGTTTCTACTCAGACACATATTTATGCAGGCTTCTCCAATGTCCGTTTTTTCAATAAAAGAGGCTTTTTCAGATTATTTTTTTTTTGGTTAAAGGAAATTATTTATATAATTTTATATATATATTTATATAATGTTCAAAATGTTTACTTTCTCACAGGTATTACGTAAATAATAAATCCCCAGAGTATAAATGCCTGTGACATTCTCAGTGAAGAAGTAATGCACGTACTTCAGGGGCTACTGTTAACAGGAGATAGCAGGAGAAATACCTGTGGGAAAATACAAAGGAGTCCACAAGGATGTTTATAATAGACATGTTTTCATACTCTTAAAATTTATTTTTTTTCAGTAGCAAAGGAGACATTTTGGGAGATAAATTGGGGGAGGATGCAATAAGACACCACTTTTCTGATAAAACCATTTTCCTTTCTTCTGTCACAATAGAATACAAAGCATGTTTCCTTTAAGAAATCACCTGCACTGTTTAATGCATTGTTACTTGCCCTCAAATTCATAGAGCTCCAGAGAAGTAACATACTTGACTTAATTGTATTTAGGCTCTTTTGAAATGTTTGGCTTTTTGTTTGCTTTAACCAAGTCACCTCCTCTACCATATATATGCCATTTTCATTAAAAGAATGGCATTGACAAGTCACAATAGTTAATACTTGCTAGAAAAGAAGTGCAAGTCCAAAAGCAGGCCTCTGTGCATTCATACCCTTCTGATTTGCATCCACAAACATTATGGCCTGAAAGAAACCATTTTGTGCAAGAAAATGCACTGCATGGATCAGCACTCCTCATTAACTCTGCTGGTATCACACACTAATGAGATTTGCCTATGGCTCATTAGAAATGTGTTTGAGTTATATTTAGTTGGTTTAGAGACATTCATTCAGGAAAGATAATTGGAGCACCTCTATTAGTGTGGTATGTTAACTGGCACACTAATGACAGCTCTGGTGGAATTTACCATGAGATTTCCACTATCAAGTCTTGTTTCAGTTGCTAGACATTTCTAAAATTCTCTTTTTTTGGAGGGAATACTTTCAAGCACAAGTTCTGCCTGTGGGTGTGTAATTATAGAGAATTGAACAAAAAGCCTTTTCTTCTTTCTAGAATAAAGAGGATGAAAAAAATCTCTCTTAAGACCATAGTTTTCTTCCTGGATGTTTTTTAGCACCACAAATATCTCTAATGACAAGTATTTGATAATAGAAACTTGCCAAAGTCACCAAACATAACAATTGTCTGTTGATATCCTGCACAAAAAAGATTTTTTTGGCTGCATTATACAGTTTCACTGATAAGTAACTGTCCTTTCTATTTCATGGGAATTACACATGCTTAACCGAATAAAGTACTAACACTGCAGTATACAGTGGTAAAGATACGTATTCTGTGTTTCCTCATGTTTTGTGCAGAAAGATATTTTTTCATTGTCATTTAATATCTGAAGAAAAAAATGTTCCGTTATGCAGCTGCTAGTTTTAACATTACTATCTCATATATGTGTAATTTGCACAAACCTATTGTGTTCTTTCTGGAGACAGTTTCTCCTGATGTGCCATTTGGATTATGAAAAATGGAAGACTTGACAGTAGTCAGATAGAGCAGGACATTTGCAGATCAATCTGAATCCAATTCTCTTTGATTTATTACAGTAGCAGAGAAACATCTCTGAATTCATCCAGTTGCTCCCACTTGATCCCAATTTTAGGTAACAACTGCCTTTAGTTTTCAGTGTACATAAAGGCATTTATTTCACTTCCTTCTACATCTGCTTGTTTTGTTTGAGCATCTTGCATGGTCTAAGGCATGGGTTGAAAGTGGGTGACTTCTGAGATTTACATGCATTAACTACTTGGATGAAATTTGTGAAATTAAATTATTGGATATATCCTCTCATAAATATGAAATTATAAAGAATAAATAGATAAATAATATATTTTACTAAACAGTGTGTCTAGAATAACGCCAGAACTCATCTTTATAATGAGTATAGTTTATACTATTAACAGAATTATAATAATGAGTTCATTTTAATTAAAAATTGAACTTTTGTAAAATCACCTTTTAGTCAAAAGTTTAGGACTTCAACATCATCATCTGTAAATCCTTTAGTACTTTCAGTGAGAACTGCTAAGTAACCATGCATAACACTTTAATGAATTAAACATTGTTATACTTGATCGTTCTCTATTATTTTTGCAATCTTCAAGTGCAGAAGTTTCATTTAATTGTTGCCACACTATCTCAGTGAGATACTATTCCTCTGCAGTTACAGCTGGCCAATGACAAGTTCCACTTTTGGCCTTACTTACCCTTATGGTAGTTCACATATTTTTATATTTTCCTGTTCCAGCCATTATTTTTTATTTTCCTGTTCCAACCATTGTGCCCCATTCACACTTAGTTTGGGATGTACTTGGAGAGGTTTTTTGCGAGGAAAGTCTCCTGAACCCTATGAAAAGTGATTAAGAATTTCTGGATCTTTTGCATCTAATTGATCATAATGTTTAACATGAACAAAAAGTTTTAAAAAATAAAGTGAAATTGTATAACCTTTTTCCAAATATATAACATGTGGCTGACTTCTGCTGAAGGTTGTCTCAGCTTGGAGAAAAATGCAGCCAGGATACTCAGTGAGTTCATAAGGCTTGGAAACCCCTGCTGTAATTCTGCTTTCTGAATGAGTGCTGCCTTTAACAGTAACATTCTATCTGACTTGCAGTATTCTAGTGTTTACAGGTCAGGATTCAGTTACTTTTTCTGTAAACAGTGCACATGGGATTCATGACATGATGCAAAATCTATACAAAGCCTTTTCTGACACTCAGATGCTGTTTCTGTCTGGATACTTACCAAGCAAGTGGCTGGATTGCTAAGAAATTAGTGTTTTATATTCTCTGATATGACTAAATGAATAAGTCTTAAATAATTTCTCAGTTAATATATGGTTATATAGAATAAAAAGGCCTTATAAAAATGCTGAGCATATGGCCCTCTGTTTAAAACACAGTGCTCATTCGTCATAATTTTCCAGTAAATAATACTGTTGGAACAATGACTACCGTGAGATAGTAGAAATATTGATGTTATTGATTAAAATTTTTTCTTCGTGAGGCTTCTGTAGAGCTTGGATTTGATGCTATGAGGTGATGAATGTAGCCTAAGAGGAGCTTGGATTACCTCTAATCTCATAAATGTCACAAATTGAGACCACTCTGCCTTGCAGGTTCAGACTCAGGATATCCATATACATTCCTTATGTTTCTGCAAACACACAAAAGTTATTTGTCAACTTTTTGTTAAAAAATAGACTCAAAGTAAGCCAGAAATGATGGAGGCATTCACTATACTAGTTTGTGATTTCTTTCCCATATAGTCGCTTTCTGTCTGATTTTGACATATTTTGCAACAAGCACATTCCTTTGTTTACACAGGAGAATCTCATTTATTGAAGGAATACTCTACTGAAAGAAAGTACTGTGCTTATTTATGAAAGTAAATAAACCTTTTATATCATTCTCTGAGAGAAGGGTCTGCATACAAAAGAATTTTAACAAAATTAATTTTGATGCCTGTCAGCTGTTAACATCTTTAAAATTTATGTATGCGTCAGTTGTGAGAACTCTCATAGTGAGCCTCTCCTGGACTTCACAGAGACAAATTTGGCCACATCCAGAGACTACATAAATCCTAGATGCTATTTCAGATGTGTTCTTTGGCAGATTCCAGTAGCAGTATTGTATTCTTCTGTATTAATAACAACTTAGCCTGTACTGTCTAAAACTCACCTCTACTTGGTGGAGCCTCATTTAGCCTTTGGAAGTTTCCATCAAACAGATGCCTCTCCTAGTGCAGGGTAGGCAGGCATAAGACCCCTTTTTACCCTTAGCCTTTTAATTTTCTTGTCTTGAAATGGCAACCCCTTTATCTCTATCAAGGAAATTGGAAATGAAGATGTTGCCTCTGGAGCAAATGAAAACTCTGAGTTGCCCTTTCCCTCAGGGAGTCTGGCATTCCTGAGTATCTTAGCTTGGAATTTCATTTAAAATGAGCCAAAAAATTAGTCATAGGATTTTTTGCATCCATGACTAACCTACTCTTCCATAAGGTCTTTGATTGTAAAAACTATACATCTAACATTAGAACTGTCTTGCAAAACCTTTCTGAATAAAGCAATGGATTAGCTTTTCAAATGACAGTGTCAGTATTAATTTCTTGCAATAATTTCATTTGTTTCATATGCTGCATTAAAGAAGCTGTAAAAGGGATTATAACATATTGTCTTTTATATATTTTGTGCACTGCATGACTTAACCTGAAAACCTAAACCTCTGCTTTCTGGGAAAAGTGATCAAATTGTGGAAAGGTTATCTTGTCTGTGCTCTGTGCCTAAAATAATGATACAAGTTTTTTATAAAGTCATTTTAAGCCAGCTAGTTTTTCAATCTGCACTATATCGAGTTCAAAGTACATTTGTCTGTATATTTATTGCATATTATATTGAATCTATGAGATATTTTATTGAGTTCATTATGCTTCATATTTATCTCATATTGCTTTATTGAGTTCAGCATAATCTTTAACCTATAATGCATTTTCATTTTATTTGGTACAGTAGAATATTTTCCCCTCTCTCCTTTTGTCATGATTACTCCTGTGCTTTTTCATGCCACTGTAATACTATCACATTATAAAAGCATTTGACAGAAGGTGTTATCAGTCTTTTTATTTTTGAAGTGCATTCTTTAGAAGTCTAAAAATTGGCCTAAGTTTAGTATAAAGTGTCTACAAAGGGATTTTGGGCACCAGTATTTTAAAGCCTCATCACTTCAAATAATAATAAAAGAGGATTTGTGTCACAAATATATGTCTGAAAATAGCATCTGTTCACATTAGAAAGGCATTATAGTGCTTCTTGCTTTCATTGCCATTTTTAAGGCCATTATAATTTACATTTTTAATCTCAGCAAACCTCCCGTGAGCTGGATTCCCCCCATGGTTTGTAAATAAGCAGCACTGGAAATCTCTCCTCAGGAGGTTTTTTCCAGCATTTATGGTAAGACCTAACAGGGCCTGGTTGTTGCACAGATTCTCTCTGGTCATTTGTCCCCTAACTGCAAAAATAAGACTGATATTGTTTTCCAGGAAATACTGCTCTTGCTTATTCCAAATGTTTAGGGTATAAATGAGGGAATGAAAAAGCATTTAGCACCTGGTACTCATTACTATTCATCTCTAGAAAAGCTGAAATATGTTTCTTTCTCTTTTCTTTCAGATTATTACTTTAAGAGATTACATTCCCAAAATCATTGGTCCAGATGCTTTTAATCTGTATATTGGCCTTTATACAGGTTATGATCCCACAATGAATCCTACGGTTTCTAACATATTTTCAACAGCTGCTTTTCGTTTTGGTCATGCAACAATCCAGCCAATAGTGAGGCGATTGAATGCACAATATTTAGACGATCCTGAACTCCCAAATCTTCATTTGCATGAAGTTTTCTTTAGTCCTTGGAGGCTCATTAAAGAAGGTATGGTCTTATTTAAACTGCTTCTGTTGTTTTTTTGTCTTTTTTTCCCCAGAAAATTGTAACTTTTTCTAAATTACTTATCCAGAATTAGGAATGAGAGCATTTATTTAATTAAATAATTTATTTAATTTGTTGGTTGAATTCCAGAGCACTAAAAAGAATGTTAATTATTATTCTCAATTAAATAGTTGACTGAATCAGTAAAACATTACTCTCAAGATTAAAACAGTCTGGTAGATTGGCAATAGAAGGATGAGTGATGATGAAGATTTTTTTAGGATTTTTTTCGTGTATGAATTTATTAACAGGTTGTAAGTTCTTTTATACCTGAAGGAGAGGGAGCTTTTTCATACCACTATTACTTCTACTTTGAACTAAAGGAGATGTGTTTGAATGTAAAAGCCTGTGTGGCACAATGATTTAAAAACATACAAACACATAAGTATTGACATTTATTATGAAAATTATAACAGTTTATACATTCTATAATACCATTTTTTATGTTTAAAGGAGGCTTGGATCCTTTAATAAGGGGTCTTCTAGCACATCCAGCAAAACTGCAGGTACAACATCAACTGCTGAATGAGGAGTTAACAGAAAAACTGTTTGTGTTGTCCAATAATGGTTCGCTTGATTTATCGTCACTGAATTTACAACGCGGCCGTGATCATGGACTCCCAGGTCTATTGCTTTTTCTTGATTTTTTTCTTCCAACTGGTAACTGAAGTAGAACTGCTTATATTTGGGATGTAATCATAAGCTTTTAAATAATAGCTCTGGTAATCAGAAAAATCACTTAAGTCTCTTTTAAAATGTACATTGCTAATATTCTTAATTTTGATGGAAAGTATTTGACAGATTTTGAGATTGAAATTATCTTGTAAATCTGGAATCTAGAACAGTACTAGTGAGTGGATCTGGGTGTGATCAGTGTAGGTACCTGAGGCTTGTTTTTGCTGGAACCAGTTTTGAGAAGTGGGGGTTTCTGCCTGAAGCAGCCATTTCCCATCAGCAAGCTGTCCCCAGCCTGTGGGATAGTCAATTTAGGTACATCTTCACTGGCTCCACCAACCACAGAAGGTGTTGACAGCTATCTCTAGGAGTGGTGTAGATGGCTTGGTTAGGTAAACTCTGCATTTTAAGAAATATTACATGTTTGTCTCTGTTTTTTTGCACTAGATTTTTTACTCCAGTCAGCCCAGTGTAAGACTGAACTAACAGTCAAGGAATCAGGCCATGGGTGTACCTGCTTAAGAGGAAGAATGCTGGAGCTTAGCTCAAATCCTGCCATAATTTCTCTGATCAATTTAACCAAAGATGGTAGACTCTTTTTATACATAACTGTCTATGACAATGATCAAGGTTGTCAAAATCCAATGCTTATAAATTTTTTAATTTCATATATCATGCCTAGCAGACAAATCTAATCTTCCTTTAAACATCATACTTGCAGGTTATAATGAATGGCGGGAATTCTGTGGTTTACCAAAACTGGAAACTCACACTGACCTGAATGCAGCAATAACCAATCAAAATGTCACTGAAAAAATCATGGAATTGTACCATAATCCTAACAATATTGATGTTTGGCTTGGCGGTCTCATGGAAGACTTTCTTCCAGGTGCTAGAACTGGTCCCCTGTTTGCGTGTATAATTGGAAAGCAAATGAAAGCACTGAGGGATGGTGACCGGTGAGTTTATTATGTAGTAAAATCATGCGTAGAAACCCAGTAGCAATGGAGATTTTACAGACACTTAAATATGCTTCAAACAAATCATTCTCTACCCATCGCACATTTTTGTCTTAGCTCCTTCAGTTTTGTTGGGTGAGGTCTTGATTATTCTTCTTTGGTTCATACGTGGTCTCAATTCCAGATGACATGGAGTTTGTTTCTATGTTACTGAGGTGTCCAGCTTGCGCTCCTACTGAAAATGCAAGATACCACCAGAAGTTAATTGTGGCAGGGGCCAGCAGCTTCTGCATGGATGGATGTAGTACTGTCCAGGCTTTATTCCCCCTGAGGGCTGCACTGGGCTCAGGAACTGGAAGAACCTCAATATTTTTCTTTGGCAACCGCAGCAAAGTCAGAAGGGATAAGAAAAATCTGTAATTCGGGCTTCATAAAAGGATAATAAAAACACCATGTACTTGGCTTTATGTGAATTGGGACAACAGAGTGTTCCCAGAGTTTCCTCATAGGACACAGCACAGGATGTCACTTCAACCAACCCTGCACAGGTGCCACCAGAATCTTGTGCCAGTACAACACTTCATACCAGAAAAGCAGGGGGAATGCAGCTTCAGGTCACAATGGCATACGAGAAGCTGTTTCTATCTTGCTTCTGCTCATGAAGCAATTATAAAAACCAACTTTTTTTTATTTCTGTCATGTACTTGTGGCAGTAATTTTGGATCTCATGAGATGGCTAATTTAAAACTGCTCACACCATGCTAGCAGGGGTGTTTTAAATACATCTTGTCCTTACAATGACCTTTAAGCTCCTCTTATAAGTCACTGTTATGGAAAGAAACCATTATGGGAATAATCATCCAAGTCAGAATTTAAATCTGAACTTTAAAAAATGTTAATTAATTAGCTTACAAGAAAAAGCAATGCTAATCATAAAGGTGGTATTTGCAGAAACTGTATAGACAATGAACATTCTACTCAGCTGTGTTCAAAACATGGTTGAAAGTCTTCTGAATGGTACAGGCATACTTGTTCCTACTTGGGGAAGGAGTATCTATGGATGTCTTTTCAGCCCCCTTTCTATTATTCAGTACCTTACACTGTTACTTAACATTCAGTATCTCATAATGCTACCAGCATTAAATAAACTTAAGAATAATTTAATACATTAACTCCAAATTGAGAAAAAGAGAGTTCTAATAATGAGTTTCCTGAGTTTCTGCTACAAAGTTTGTGGCAGCTAACTTAAATGTGAAATGGTGTTCCATCATTAATAACAAAGAAACCACCTAAGACAAGTTAGAAGTATGTAACAACATGTTATAGTTGTCACATAATAAGAATGGAACAGTCTAGCACTGCAGTGTCTGGTCAGGTAGAGTGTTGGGTGTTATCTGTAACTGGACCAGGGGCACTACATACACTAGATACCCTAACTGACAGGTCTGAATGCAGGGATTTAAAAATAACTCTTCTAATCTACTCTTTAAGTTCAAAATACCTGGAATTGTCATCAGGCTGAACCCTGAATTCTGATAGTCCTAAAACCTTTTTGTCAGTAATCTGACAAAACATAAAAAGTTTTCTTTTCTGCTAAAGTCAGGCACTATCTTAACCACATCATCTGAGACAAATTATTTCTGATCCATCAGCCTTCTTCCACCTCTTCATCCTCTGAATATTTTTGCAATCTCAGGGTTTGAAACATTTGGGCAAAACTTCTGAAGTTTTTTCATTCTTTGCATAGGTTTTGATCACCTGACCCAGACTGAATGGAGTAAACCAAAATGTTTGTTAAAGTAAACACCCATCTGTTGGGTAGATTAAAACATCATTTTTCATTTAGAATTATAGATAAAACCGAATTTTGTGATAAAAGTAGAATAGGTTTTAATGTATATGAAAGGGGACATAGGTGTAGGAGAACTGAGTGGAGAAAAGACTTTGATGGCTTTGTTTATAGGAAGGGGTCTTGGAATCATCACTGAGGTTTCAGGATGCTCTGAGAAGTTTAGGAGCATGCAAGACATGGTGTAGACAAGGTGTAGGAGGAAGGCTCCTTCCTTTTGTTCTCCTTCCAGCTCCTCCATCTCTCCTGCATTTATTATCACAGTGCTGCTGAGTTGTGGGACATTCCTCTACCCCTGGTTCTCTACATTGCCTCCTCCTTCAATGTAGGCAAAGTAGGATGGGTTTTTTTAACAAACCAGTCTTCTGAAGGTAACTATTGGCCTACTAATAAAGCCAGTTTTCCAAAATTTCACATGCACTTACCTTACTTGGCAGGTATGGTCCTGTTGGTAGCACAATCTGATTTGTCCTGAAAAGCCACCCTGAAGCACACTGGCAGTCCTCATCCTCCCCAGAACACAAACACAACTATCAGACTTCCCATTTGTATGGTACATTTACAGGCAGCCCATAAAAATCTTCAAATGCTGAACACATGCCAGGTTTGCATAGAGTCCACTGTCAATATTGCTGTTCCCTTCTAATCAGGCAAACGCAAACACAAACTCACAGACTTTCTAGAAACCTCCAAGCCATGTGCCCCCTGTATTATGAATCATAAGTCCTGTGTTAAACCTGAGCTCAGCTTACACAGTCTGATCACTCCCATGCTCTACTGCTGACTGTCCTCAGGCATGTTACCACCAATCCTGCCTAGTATTTGGGAAAATCCTGACTGGCCTGAGTACCACAGGGAATTAAGCAGTGTAGCAGTGCTTATCGCTGTTCACTGTACTAATAGAGACATTCTATCAAACTCTTCAGAAGTATTTTTGCCATTAATGACATGTCTTTATACACAAAATGTTTGTCTTTCCTTTTCTCCCCAGTGTTTTCTTTCCTTTTACCTTTAAATGTGTATGTATATGTGTATGCATACATATATATTTTATATAATGTCACCATTTAATAAATATACCTTTGTAGTTCCTCTGAACTAGTTCCTCTGTTCTGACACCACACTCCTGATCTGACAAAAATAAGCAGGTCTCTGTTCCAGACAGTCCTCTTAGCTTTATGTATGATCAAAAACATAATTTTGCTTTTCTACTTATGCTTATATATGCTTATATATACTTATGCTTTTCTACTATAATTAATCTGCGTATCTGCAGGTTTCTTAGCAAATTAAGTATTCCTAATTAACGAGAGAAGTATTCAACATATACTTGTTTTCCTAGCAGCCATTCAGTAAGAGCAAACAGAATTCAAAAGCTTTGGTATGAGGAAATCTATTTTGGTTACTCCTCCAATTCCTCTGTAATTTATGCTTTAAACAATTTATGAGTGAACAGCACATATTAGTATATGTAGGAGTAAGGACCAGTTCAATCAAATTTGTCTCGAGTTTTTCTCTCAGGATTGTAACTTTTTTTGTGGACCTGTTCAATCAATGAAAAGCAATTCTGCTGGCTTTAACACATCAGACCAGTTGACCAGTACATCAGACTCACACTAGCCTTTTTATGACTGGTTCTTTATGGTCATGGTGTTTACTTTTATTATTCTTTTATTCACCTATTTTTGCTGTAATTCTTATTTTCGGTATTTAAATAAAAGGTACTGTGAAAGTAAAAATAAGCTGCTCTTTGATCTTTTCAAAAAAGGTTTCTGTCAATCTTTCCAGATTTTGGTGGGAAAATGATAATGTTTTCACAGAAGCTCAAAGGCATGAACTCCAAAAACATTCACTGTCCCGCGTGATTTGTGACAACACAGGAATTTCTGAAGTGCCAGCAGATGCCTTTCAACTTGGAAAGTTTCCAAAGGATTTTAAGCACTGTAACAATATACCCGGGATGAATTTAGAAACTTGGCAAGAATTTTATCACGAAGGTAATCTAGTAGTTACCAATCTTTTCGGAGGGGAGAGTAAGGAGCAGTTTAAGTACTGACTTTGGTTGTGGAAGGTCTTGAGTTACTGGTCTGAATCAGACCTTTACTATTTCTATCACTTAGAAGTGGGATCATATAATCATAGAACTTTTTGGCTTGGAAGGAATCATTACAGGACATCTAGTCCAACCCACCTGCAATGTCCAGGGACATATTCAACTACATCAAATTGTTTAGAGCTCTGAATCCAAATGTTTCCAGGGATGAGGCATGCACCTCTCTGGGCAACTTGTGCCAGTGTTTCAGTACTCTTGTCAAAAATTTCTTCCTTATATTTAATCTAAATCAACTCTCTTTTAGTTTAAAAACATTACCCCTTGTGCTATTGCAACAGGTCCTGGTAAAAAAGTTTGTTCCAATCATTCTTGTAAGATTTGTTTAAATTGACAGGCTGCAATAAGGTCTCCCTGGAGACTTTTCTTCTCCGGGCTGCAACAACAACCCAACTCTCTCAACCTCTTTCTTCAAAGGAAAGGTGCTGCAGACCTCTGATTATCTGTGTTGCCGTACTCTGGACTTGATCCAGTAGGTCCATGACCTTCCTATGTTGTAATGCTAATTTTATGAAGATTATAAGTAAAACCTGTGATATTCAATATCAATTCTTTTCCAGAAATGAACAATTAGTCTTGAGTGAAAAATTTCACTGAAGTTAATATTTATAGCAGTAATGCAGAATACCATCCATTTGCAAGTCTAAGTTGGTAATTTTTTAAAAGCCTGTAATACAAACTTTCTATTTGTAGATGAACTATGTGGAACACCAAAAAGTGTGGAAAATGGTGATTTTGTATACTGTTCAGAATCTGGAAAATCTACAGTGACTTATACATGTCATTATGGATTTCAGTTACGAGGAGAAGAGCAATTAACCTGCACAAGCAATGGATGGACCTTTGAGGCTCCAGTTTGTATAGGTATATATAATAACAATAATAATAATTATTATTATTATTATTATTACTATTTATTTATTTCTGAATTTTCTAACAGCTAAAGTCCACCATAGCTCATCAGATGTGAATTCACTCCTATGCCTTCTTGTAGTTAGCATCCTGGGCTTACAGGTGCAATAACACAAAAATGTGAAACTCTCTCCAGAATTGCTGTTTCACTCTCTACCCATCCTGATTCAGCAATCAAGTTGATGATAAGAAAATGTCACTAAAAATTGCCCAATTAAACAAAAATCAAGTCTATTAACAACCATTCAGGAGGGAGGGGGGAGATAAAGGGAAGGAAAAAAGGCTGCAAATCAGAATTATACATTGCTTCCTCCTACATTCAACATAAGAGCATGTCAGTGAGTTGTCATTTTCCTGGCATTGTTCCAATGGATGCTCTAGATAAAAGTTGAACTCTGCACCACTAGAGCATGTGTCATCCTAATAATTTTTGTAAAAGTGAAAAAAACAGTCTGTGAAGTGAATAAGTGAAATTAAGGAAACTAATAATCACTACAGGTACAACCTTCCCCTCCCAAATAGCTGTGAAAAGGTTTTCCAGAAGTTAATTACTTCTGCAGGTACAAAAGTAGATCAGATGAAAATTAGTAAAAAGATATATTTCTGGCACATTATCACAGGAACCTTTTCTGTTATTTTAATAATTCTTTCATCTTCTGTGTTTTTTTTTGCCTTTTACTGTTTAGTAGAATAAGCTAGAAGGAGAATGTGGCAAACATTACAAGACTTTCACTCTTCATGCTGTGAAGAATGAATTCTCTCTCTTCAACATTTCAAATGTGTTTATAATGAGGGTGTGTGTACATATACTCATATATATATATGTATATATGGATGTGTGTGTATATATTCACACTCCTCTGCTTTATAAGAGCATGAGAGAAAAATAAACCCAAAAAGGCTATATTTCAGAATATATTATGGGTGGTGGTAAATTAATTTGAGTGCAAGTGCTGCAGCTCATCCACAATCAAGTCTGCTTATCAGTATTTTTGTGATAGCAGAATAGAAAGCTCTTCATTCTAATTGTATACCTGGTATGGAAAAAGTCAAATGAAATTTTCAGCTCTTTCCTTTATTCACATCCTATTTATCCACTGAATTCCTCCCACATAAATACCATATAAAGAAATAAAGATGTTAAATGAATTATAATAAAACCTTTTCAATAGATTAATGTTCTGGCAGGGAATGGAATAAATAAGTTAAACTAGTGAATCATTCCTTGTCCTAGTTTCTTTTAATATGTTCAGTAAAGTAAACAAAAGACTGTATATCTGCTATAGGAAAACAAGCTGCTCCATATATTAAAAAAAAATGCCTTTATTAAAGGAAAACCATCATAACCCACTTATGCAGATGCTACTTGAGTTTTACAGTAGAAAGCACTTTGTTCCATGCATGTCTGTGCAATATGTTCCCATTCTTTTAAATATTCAGCAAATTAGGGATAAATCAAGCAATATAATGAGGAGGATAGAGCTTAGCATTTCTGCAGATGGTTTCAAAATTATATGCTACTCTGGAAAGACAGAGTGGCTTGCTGGCAAAAGCATAGGATTCTGAGAGCTGTTAATTCCCTCTTACTAACTTGGGCTTTGACTGATATCATTTCTATTGATTCAGGAAGTAATTTAGTGTTAGAATATGCTACCTTCCTTTATATTAAGTGATGTCATACTCCTGATAACTCTTTGCTTTAGTAAACAACTGCTCTCTGAGCAGCAGGGTTGGCTGGTCAGATCTGACACGCACTGTTTAGTGATGAAGTTATCTAGTTAGCACATAGCATGACTATGGATCTATAGAAGTTGAAGGAGCTCATTTAAATTACAGTGCAGGCAAAAGTGCAGGTTTTGTTCCCAGATGATGATTAAGCCAGTGAGCATTAACTCAAAATACAGTTTTGAAAGGAGTAATAATCTGAAATCTTCATCCTAAACAACAGATTCTTTTCCTGCTTCAAAGACATGTTATGAATCTTATCTTTTCTTAAGGGTTCTGAAATTTTATATTTTTCCTGCATGTTAGTCTTTTGACTGTCTTAGCTGATAACTGTCTTTGGGCACAGCTACTTTTTTGTACTAAAATTTGAGAAAAGAAGGCTTGGTTCTATTTCCAATGATGGAAAGTGGTCTCAGTGACAACGCTAAACTTAGTAAAACCAGGTCAGTTTCTAATACTGATTAAAAATAAGAACTTGTATTGAAGTATCAGATCAAACATTGTGGTAGAGAATGAAAGGATAAAACCAAAAAGAGAAGACACTGCAGACTCAACTAGTAGGTCACATATGGGTTTGCAGTGCTTCACACAACCATTGGTCAGAGACATTAAACAAGCTGTCAGATATACAGAACCAATGGGAAACTACCTAAAATAGCATGGATACCACCTACTTTTAGTCAACTGAATTCAGTCATGCAAGTAAATATTACACAGAAAAAAGACACGTGTAAAAATATGAAAAGACCCCTTTCTTTCCCTCACTGGGTATTTTCCTGCACTGCTGTTTCTTATTTCATCACATAATAAGAAAGTGAAAGATCTTGAAAGGCCTCAAGAACAATATATGTATGTACATTTTCCAGTGGATAATTGTTCATCTGCTCAACATTCTGACAGGATATTGTCATTTTACAGAATTTATATAGCATCTAGAAACAACCATCCTTGCAGTGGTATCACAAATTATGGTTAAAAATTTTGTAAACAAAGCTAACCTGAAAATTTGGCTCCTCAATGTCATGTCTAGAAGTGTACAGAACTGTGTCTGACTTAATATTTTCATTATCTCTATAGAGAATAGGATGAAAAATTTATAGAGGAAGTCAAATCTTAGGACACAAACACATGAAGACCTCTCACATTTAAGGCTTGCATTTTTGAAAATTCAGCCAATTGCCATTTGTAGCTTTTGGACTATGAGAACAACTTTTCTTTTTCATCATTTCCAGCTTTAAAACAAACAAAAAATCAAAATGAAACAACAACGACCCTCTTCTTTGTCCTTTAAACAGTAACAATACAGATTTTTATCAGTATCTGTCTCATTGAAAATGTACAATGCCTTTCATTTAGGAATCCTTGTAAAAAGTGTTTATGAGAAATTATTAATCCCTTTGTACTTTGTAATTATTATTGATCAGTGTGTCCTCATTTTGCAGACATCAATGAATGTGAAAATGAAATTAATCCACCATGCCCTCCTTCTGCTGTATGCATTAACACTAAGGGTAGCTACAAATGTCTCCCTGACTGATCCCTACAAGCTGGCAGGAGATGGAAGAACATGCTTTGGTAATGGTGAACCTACTGTCCATTAAAATGTTCTCTGTTCCACTTTACAATGCTGTAAAAACACATCAAATTGTGTTTTATTGAAGAGCTGTTAACATATGTGAAAAATCTCACAACCATGAGCATAAAGATACAGATTCTGTAAATCAAGGTGTTGAATAAATAATACCGGTACATAAATAAGCTTTTCATTTCTATTCCTATTGCATATAAACCACTAAGTATTTACTGACAGTGCATATGAGGATGGAATCAAATTTGTCTCAGCATCTCCTAGTCAGTATCTAAATTCAGCACCTAAATATTAACTAAGTTCCTCCCGACACCTTCCAAAACTGTCAACTCTTTCAGAGCAAGTAGAAATTATGCATTTCCTTGGGTTTTTCAACTTTTCAGCATTCAAGTAAGCTGTATTATAGAAGTTTAGGGGGAGTATGAGTGCAGTTGCCCACTGAAGCTGAGCAATACCTGTTCTGGGGAAAGCTGCATGAAAACCTACAATCCAAACTCAAGTGAATGGGTATTTGCTTTATCTAAGTGCCCAAGGGTAGCACATAACCTTTAAACCACTCAGATTTTGCATATAGAGTTCTGTACGCCACACAATCATAAGCACATTGAATCTCACTGATGGCACATTACTTTCTTCCTATTTCAGCAAATTCCTTGGTTATGATGTGGCATTACACTGTCCCTTATTATAAATTACTCTAAGAAAACAAAAAATGGTAATTCCCCAGCAAAAAAATACCAAGTTGCAAACATACAGATATTTTCAGATATGAGGTGCATCCAGTAAGTTTTCCAGATGTGTTTCAAGGTCACATGAGCATATCCCACCAGCGAGACCTCATTCCTCAAGTGACACCTTAAGTGAGGCCATGTGACTTCATCAAAGGTCTAGGAATGAAGTACAATGGGAAACTGCACTAACATAGCAGGCACACCAGTAGAGAAACCTCCCCAAGAGAAGGCTGCCAGAATGGACCAAGTACTCCCTTGCTGTAGTGAAAGCAAATGCAAATTTTCAGGGCCTAATTTTTATGGAATTAGACTAGACAGTAATAGTGGTAGCCATTTAGAGTTTCATCTGAATCAAAAAATAGAAAAAACACACCTTTTTTTTAGGTGTTTCTTAACTTTATTATTTACAGTTTGTTCCTTTATCCAAACAACCATGGTTACATTTATTTATTCCTCTAAATTCAGAGACAAAAATCTGCTTTCAGATTAATTTGATGTGGTTAAGTCACTGATGTTGAATGCAAGAAAGATAGCGTGAGGACACTGCACTGGCATATGGCTGCTGTTGCAGTGGATATGTGCTATGGACTTCCTGATCAGGAAGAAGTAGATGGGTCTTTCTTCAAACAACTGGAAGAATCTTTGTGTTCACAGACCCTGGCCCTCAGGGGGAATTTTACCCACAGTTATAAGGACAATACAGCAGGCCACATGCAATGTAGATTATTTTTGGAGAGCATTGACAGCTTCCTGACAAATGTTGATCAAGAAGACAAGGAAAGGTGCTCTATAGGACATAGTGCTTAAAAATGGAATCACAGAATTGTTGAGGTTGGAAGGAACCTCTGGAGTTCATCTTGCCCAATTCTTCTGTTCAAGTAGGATCACCTAAAGCCGTTTGTCCAGGATCATGTCCAGACAGCTTTTAAATCTCTCCAAGTGTGGAGACTCCGCAACCTCTCTTAGCAAACAGTAGCAGTGCTCACCTACCCTCCCAGTCACACTGTGTATCATTTTGTGCTCATTGCCTCTTGTCCTGTCACTGGGCACCGCTGGAAAGAGCCCAGCTCCATCCTCTTTGCATCTTTCCTTCATATATTTAAACAAATTGATAAGCCCCCCACGAATCTTCCCTTTGCAAGGCTAAGCTGTCTCAGAGCTCTTAGCCTCTCCTCATAGGAGAGATACTCTAGATTCAAAATGTCTTTGTGCCTCTTCTCAGGACTCTTTCCAGTATGTCAGTGTGCACCAAGGAGCTGAAATTGCCCACCCAGCTCCAGATGATGTCTCACCCAGAGCAGAGGGGAAGGATCACCTCTCTTGATCTGTTGTCAATGCTTAATGCATCCTAGGATACCATCATCCACCTTTGCAGGAAGGGCGCGTTACTGGCTCATGTTCAGCTTGGTGCCCACCAGGCCCCACAGGTCCTTTTCTGCCAAGCCATTTTCCAGCAAGACATTTCCTCATGTGGACTGATGCCTGAGGCTGCTCCTCCCCAGATGCAGGAGTTTGCATTTCCCCTGTTGAACTGTGAGGTGCCTGTCAGCCCATTTATCGCATCTATGGAGGCCCCTGGGCAACCTGCCGTAGCTGATCCTACTTGAACAGGGAGATTTGACTAGCTGACCTCAAAAGGTCCCTTCCAACCTTAATGACTCTTTGATTCCATGTTTAGGTAAAGAGAAAATGAACAGGGTTTAGCAGTGTTTTATATTGTTTCTCTGTAAACTGTGTTTCTTAACATACTAGTGTACATCTCTCACTGTCATTTCTCATACTTTTTTTGAATTGAGAAAAAAGTCAATTAGCTACTTGATAGTAGATTGATCACAAAAATATTTGTATTAACAAGGGAAAGGAGAATGTTACAGCTCAGTGTATTCTAGTTTGTTTAATTTCCATATTAAAAAGCTGAAAATTTTACATAAAAGAAGCTGTTTGTGTTTTTATTTCAGATTAAAAGTTTTTATCAAGGTTATTGAGTGGCTTCATTTATTGGTCTATTGTTTTTGCATTTTTAAGGACATCATTCAAAAGGACTAGCTAATTTCATCATATGGTTAGAATGAGGTTTGGGGACTTGGTGAAAAAAGATAGAGCAACACTTTTCTAAACCAACATATTGGTGATAATAGATGAGCAGCTGAAACTGAGCAGCAATAAGAATTTGGGAATCTGCAGTGCAGAGTGATTTAAAATTACAAGAGCACTTCACATTATTATGAACATTTCTGCCTTCAAAAGTAAAAAGCTCTTAAAAATTTTGAAGAGCTCTAGTAATGCTAACTATTCAATACTGAAAATCTATATAACCTTCAATCCTGCTTTTATTGATTGAATTCATCTGTAGCCTCAAGCTGTCTTTGACTCAGATGAAAACTTGTGTAGGATAACTTTATTCAGGAAGTGAATTTTTTGAATTGTGTCAAATCAAAGTTGCTCATCTCTTACCACTCTGGCCCATGGCTTTTGATATTTTTAGAAGTAAATAAAAACAAACCAAACAAACCCCAAATAAAAACAAACAAAATACCCAACAAAACCCATAAAATTCACAATTTTCCATCTATGCTTACTTTAACCACATTAAAAGGACTCACAATTTAAATATCTTCACTCTTGATCCACACTTAGTTTACCTTTGCACAAATGAATTTACTCTCAAGATTCCTCATAGTCATTCAACCCAAAATATTGTCACTGGCCTCTAATTTAAATTAGCTTTAGTTCTTGTTTTGAGTTATATGACAGTGACAGATTGCAACCTTTGGATAAATGTTCTTATCTTTTGCATGCTTTTACTGCCATGTCAAAGGAACATAAATCCTGAAAATGACACTTCCTTAAACTTTGATGGAATTATAATATTGGACCCACTTTCTTTGCTGTGCTGCAGAATGCTGAAAGAAGTGACTCATCACAGCAGGTGTTTTAGTCTGCAAAGTCAGTTGTTACGCTCAGCACTGCACCCTGCAGGGTTGAGAAAGCCAGCTGGTTTCAGATGGCAAAAAACACTTTTGACACTTTCATCAAAACTATAGGAAAAATATGGCTTATTTTGGGAAACACTTACAACAGGAGCTTTGTATTCTATGCTTCTCAGGTGCTTACAAAATTGATCTTTTTGTATGCTTGATTGTGCGTTTAGCAGTGGATGGATTCATATTGTTGTAAAGACGTAACTGAGAAACTGAGATAAATAGTGAGGTGTATTCAGGGGTAGGGAAAGAGAATAGAATGAAGCAAAAGAGTTCAGCACTTCAAATTAGATTTGTACTAAACTCAAAACACAGCTTTATTCCACTAATGACTGGGATGTGTAAAACCAAACTAAATACTTGAATTAGAATAGCAGATGATTTTTGGCAGCATTGTTTAGTAGTTATGATATTATTTTCTGACATATGACCTTCAATTAGATTGTTTCAATGAAAAATATTAAAACTATTATGATTTCTGTGAGTGTTCATGGCAATTCCATTGTGCCTTTCAGCATACATAAGAAAAGTTTTTCACATTTATGGTTAGTTAAAAGCATGGATAATTAAAAAGCTAAGTTACCATTGTAATCAATTTTTAAATCTTTAAAACTTCTGGTGAAAAACTAAGAAGGAATGAACATTCTCATTTTACTATTCTTCGTTCTGTCTCACAGCCTGCAAATGGTTTGTGCACCTCTCTTCAGAAGTCACATGATAACACCCTTTGGATACTGGAATTTAAGAAAAAATTACGATCAGATCTCCCATCCAGGAAAGTAATTTTTATATTGGATGGTGCTGTATGGCATTGGAAGCACACACTTCTGCTGAGCTGATGCACTCCCAAAACAATAAACCAATTTTGCTGGGATACAGATGGCAGCTGAAGATGCACGGTGTGCCCCTTGCTGCAGAAGGAAATTCCACCCTGCAGGAAAGTTTTGTTGCTCTATCACCATGTGCCAGTTTTTACTTTATCATGGTTGCCCCACAAAGACAGACCAGTAGAATGGAAAAGGCAAAAGATACTGTGGCACTTGATGCAGCAGAATAGATTTGTTGTAATGGGCCACATGCCGGATCCCCACTTCCTGCACAGAGCAAAGACATCCAACCTCCAGGCAGACCCTGTTAGCCCAGGCTTAGCTCAGAGTCAAACACTTCAAGAGAAACTCCACCACAAGGTTGACAGCCTTGTCCAAACCAAAGGGCTGAAGTCATGCTGAAAAGCCAGTGGAGAGGCAAAGGTCTGTGTGCTGACCATTTTTCCAGTAGGTGTTTGCTCTCTGTTTCATGGT